GGTGAAGATAGCAGTATTTTCGGCATGGTAATCATTTAATTAATATTTATTAATTCCATGTTTGTCTTCTTGTTGTCATTTAATTAATCTTCTTGTTTAACCCTTCTTGGAGTCTGATTTCGACAATTTTTGGCTTTTTGATTCTGCCACTGCCAGTTTTCGTCTACGTTTGCACCTAATAAGTCATCCAATACCCCATTGATCTTGTTTCATTTTCTTTTTGTCATTTCAATTAATTAGCATATCAAGTTAAGTTGTGGTTGGTTATGTTTTTATTGCTTCACGTTGATGCTCATTTTATTTACCTCTATTACCATGACTTAATTAAATCAATGAAGATTTCATTAAATTGAAAAGACAGCCACTTTTGGCTCCTTAATTATTATGTTCAATTTGATATCTTAATTATTATATATACAAAATTTTGATGCATAATAATTATTACATAAGAATTCTTTTACCAAGACTATGCATAAGAATTGAGTCCTTTAATTTATATCACACATTTTTTTAAAATTTAACCTTTAAAATTTATTTTTTCACTTTAAGTTAAAAAAAGTCATCATCACATTAGTTTATAACTTAGCTGGGTCTCATGAATAAACTTTGCTATTATAACTTATAGACACTTAAACAGTGCTAAAAGCCTAATTGCATGAAAAGTTTTTTTTATGAATAGAAGGTCATGGATTGATCCGATCTACTTATAACTTCAATTCGTTAGTGCTTGTTTCTCTAAATTAAAAAAAATAGTGTGGCTTAATTATTGTATGACCAATTAATTCATTGAATAGGTTAAGGGTTTCTGTTAAATTAGTAATATAATATTTTTTTTTAATACTCCTAACCATCTTCTTTAATTCCTCCCTTCCTCTCTTAATTAATTATATATTATTGTCAGAATATCAATAAAATTAATTTAATTTACAAAACAAAATGACAAACATGTGAAATAGGTCTTAAATATAGAACTAATATTAACTTCTAAATTAGATCTTATATTAAAAACAGAGGGAGTATTATAGATTAATACTGATTTTACTTTTAATTAAACTGGACTTCCTGAATATGGTGTGCAATTTAAGATAATTATCTCGGTGCTAATATTGCAGCTTAAGCAAAAAATCGAGGACACGGTTGGTGTAGGGAAGGGATCATCCCAAATGTACGCAACCATTGATCTGGAGAAAGCAAGAGTGGGAAGAACCAGGGTTTTGGAAAACACAGATTCCAGTCTCAGATGGCAAGAATCTTTCCACATATACTGTGCCCACGTCGCATCCAACGTCATCTTCACCGTCAAAGGCGTCAACAAGATCGGCGCCACCTTAATCGGACGAGCCTACGTCCCCGTCGACAACATCATCGGCGGTGACACCTACGATGAATGGCTCGATATCTTAAACGAAGAAAAAGAACCCATCGGCTCCAAAATCCACGTCAAGCTCCAATACTTCGACGTCACAAAAGACAGAAACTGGAATCGAGGCATTCGGAGCCCTAAATACCCAGGAGTACCCTACACTTTCTTCTCACAAAGACAAGGTTGTAAGGTTACCTTGTACCATGACGCTCATGTCCCTGAAGATTTCATTCCCAGAATCCCCCTCTCAGAAGACAAGTATTATGAACCTCATCGATGTTGGGAAGATGTTTTCGACGCAATTAGAAATGCAAAGCACTTTATATACATCACTGGTTGGTCTGTTTACACTGAGATTAAACTAGTGAGAGATGCTAAGAGGCCAAAAGATGGAGGTCACATGACACTAGGACAGCTTCTGAAAGATAAAGCAAATGAAGGGGTTAAGGTTTTGATGCTTGTTTGGGACGATAGAACTTCTGTTAGTCTGTTAAAAAAGGACGGGTTAATGGCAACACATGATGAAGAAACTGAGAAATTCTTTCAAGATACTCCAGTTCACTGTGTTTTATGCCCTCGTGATCCCGACGAAGGTGCCGGGAGTATAATACAGGACGTACAGATTTCCACCATGTTCACTCATCACCAGAAGATCGTGGTGGTGGACGGTGAGCTTCCGGGACGAGGGTCGTCCAGCAAGAGAAGAATAGCGAGTTTCGTCGGTGGGCTTGATTTATGCGACGGAAGATACGACACTGCGTTTCATTCACTTTTCAGAACGTTGGACACTGCTCATCACGATGACTTTCATCAACCTAACTTCGCCGGCGCCGACATCAACAAAGGTGGACCCCGGGAGCCGTGGCACGATATACATTCGCGTCTGGAAGGACCCGTTGCTTGGGATGTTTTGTTTAATTTTGAACAGAGATGGAAGAAGCAAGGAGGGAAGGATGTGCTCGTCTCCCATGGAGAGCTCGAGGAGATAGTTATTCCGCCATCTCCGGTGATGTTCCCGGAGGATCACGAGACGTGGAATGTTCAGTTGTTCCGATCCATCGACGGCGGCGCTGCCTTTGGCTTCCCAGATAGCCCAGAAGAAGCAGCCGACGCCGGGCTCGTGAGTGGAAAAAAACAACATCGTAGACAGAAGCATTCAAGATGCATATATCCATGCAATAAGACGAGCGAGGAAGTTCATATACATAGAGAATCAGTATTTTCTGGGAAGCTCATATGCGTGGAGCGCTGAAGATGGCGACATAAAGCCGGAAGAAATTAACGCACTTCACGTCATACCCAAAGAACTATCACTGAAAATCGTAAGCAAGATCGAAGCAGGAGAGAGATTCACGGTGTACGTGGTGATTCCGATGTGGCCGGAGGGCATACCAGACAGCGGCTCCGTGCAGGCAATATTAGATTGGCAGAGAAGAACGATGGACACAATGTATAAAGACATTGTCGAAGCTTTGGAGGCAAAGGGAATAAGGGAAGATCCTCGCAAGTACTTAACATTCTTCTGTCTGGGAAACAGAGAAGTGAAACGAGACGGCGAGTATGAACCACCGGAACAACCAGAACCTGATACCCCTTATGAAAAAGCCCAGAAAGCTCGTCGCTTCATGATTTATGTTCACACCAAGATGATGATAGGTTCGTACGAAGATTCATTATTCTTACAGGTTAATTAACTTGAGTCATAAGTAACATATGTGTATACATGTATATTGTGCAGTGGATGATGAGTACATAATCGTGGGATCTGCGAACATAAACCAGAGGTCAATGGATGGATCAAGGGACACAGAGATAGCGATGGGGGCATATCAGCCGTATCATTTGGCGACGAGCAGGGGGCCGGCGAGGGGACAGATCCATGGATTCCGAATGGCGTTGTGGTATGAGCATCTTGGGGTGATGGAGGAGTGTTTCAATCACCCAGAAAGTGAAGAATGTGTGGAGAAGGTGAACCAGATGGCTGATAAGTACTGGGAATTGTACTCAGATGAATCATTTGAAGAAGATCTTCCAGGGCATTTGCTGCGATATCCTGTGAAGATTTCTAGGGAAGGGCGAGTTCAAGAACTGCAAGGCTTTGAGTTCTTCCCTGATACACAGGCTCGTATTCTTGGTGCCAAGTCAGACTACATGCCACCAATCCTCACTACTTAATCAATTTGATGATTACTCCAGCATTCTTATCTTCTCTTCTTTTCGTCTTCTTTTATTTCATGATCATATATTATTGTGGTTTTTTTTTTTTTGGGTGTTTTGAGTTATGTCCAATAATCAAATGATGTAATTGTAATGGCGCAGGTATTAATGATTTTAGCATCTGATGTTGCAATGAAATTTAATGTGTTTTTGACTATTCGTATAGAGATGTGTAATGGGGAAAACTAATTGTGCAATTTTAGTAGTGTCAAAGACTTGAATGTTAATGTTATAGTACTTCCTCTGTTGTTATTTATAAGACCAAATTGTTAATTTTACACAAATTGAAAAAAATAATTGATATCTTTAAAAATTGATTGTTACTCTCAATAAAACAGTTTTCTCTTTTCACAAAGATTTAAACAGCAACAATGCTGAAACCTTCTAGAAAATGTCTTGTCAAAGAGCGCCAATGGTATATTTTTCTTTTGATAAATGAATATTCTCCTCGCCTAAAAACCAAATTATATAAAAGGGGAAAAATTAAATTACATGATAATACCGAAACATAATACTAGTAAGCATAACTCGGAGAAAGTAATGAAAATAAATTTTCTTGATAGATATTATTTTAATCCTAAATATAATATGTATTTTATTATGTAAATTATGTTATAAAATACATTTTATATTTAGAACTGGATGAGCATTATGTTATTTATCGTATTAGAAGATATTTGACAATTAACTAATCATTCAACATAACATGATTCTTACTTATGATTAAATGACTGAATAAATGAAAATATCATTTGAGTATGAAAAGTAAATGGCTGACGAGACGCCAATAGAATTAGAAACAACAACATTATGAATTTTCATGCATCTTTTTGCCAAATTCTTGCCAGTTTCCAAATAAGCAAAAGCAAAACCAAATTTCAAAAGCACATAGAGAAATCTCCAGATCATTGCGTCCACGCTTACGTCAACCACAACCAATGAACTAGTGCCATTTTTTCCCCAATTCCTGTAATCATCATGTGAAATTCCCATTCATTTCTTTCTGTTTCTTTCTCAGTTTTAATACTTTTCTTCCACCCCATATACTTTTCAAGCCTACCCACTTTTCTATTTATGCAAGTCTTCCTTTTCTTTGTTGAGATAATAGATTTGCTTCTCGATCTTACCGTCCCTGTTCTTGAACGTACAGCTCTGTTCTTGCAATATGACTTCCATGTCGCAGGGTCTTGTTTTAACCACTGCCATGGTTCTATCATGCACTGTGCTTTATCTTTCTTTCTCAAGTAAAATCATTTCCCCATCGTCCTTTATTTCTGGGAATTCCGATTCCCAGGACTCTAGCAAACAAAATCTACGCTCTTGCTTGTGTTCAGGTAACTGGGTTTCCTCTGCCTTTTTCCTTCTTTTGCTGATCGTAACAATCTTCATTTGGAAGAATCTTTGGTGATTGCTGTGGTAATCATTTGTGTACATGTTACAGAGGAAAAGAAAGTAGAGAGAAAGAAGGAGAAGAAGAAGAAGAAGAAAGTACAATTTGCAGATAATGTGAAGGAAGCAAGTGAAGGGCCAGAGAACGAACAGAGGGAGCAAATCAGAGCATCAAGAAGTTGCAGAGATGAAATTGAAGAGATCATGGGAATGCCAGCGAACCGAATCGCTCTGTATAATGGGATTTTGAGAGACCGAGTACGTAAGATCGAATGCTCTTAATAACGGACGTAGGAATAAGGAATCTGAAACTTTGACGCTCTGTCTCCTCTGTTTTTTTCCTTCTTCGTTTCACCCGAAAAGAGGGAAGCCTGACGACTGAAGAGCCCTGCGGGGGAAAAATAAAAATCTGTTCGTGGGGTTGTAAATAACTAAAGGACATTTTGGATTGTGTTTCTATTTGATTGTTGTCTTATTAAATGAACTCGTCTGCATTTTATTATATATTTATATTTTATATTTTTATAATTCAATAATTTTTTATTGAATTATGGCATCATTAGGCAGGTGCTGAGTGGTTCATGCCCCCTTGAATTTTTGTAAAAGTTTAACCCAATTTTTAAATAATATTAAATATGTTCGCATATTTTTTGAAAGTAAAAAAAAAAAAAATTCCTCCTGAAGGCAAGAAACATAAGTTGATTCTCAAATAATAATAATTTGATTATTTAAATTAAAAAAATTAAATAAAAGATATCGATATGGCTAAATTAGAGTGGAAACTGGTTTAGATATAATTCTCCAAGAAAATATATTCAGAAAAATGTAAATTTTGAAGCACGCTCTGCGCTCTGTTCTGTCGGTCTCTGGTACTAATGTTTTTAAACATAACTTAATTATTAAATCATTAGAAATAAAAAGAAAATCTTATTATTGTTAATCATTAACTCATACTTGCTTATAGAATCAACTTAGGTGGGAAGGTTTTTCCATACTCCTGAGAGAACTTACTTTTGAGTGCTCATAATGGAAATTCCTAGTGATAAAAAAACATAAATAATAATTCAGTATTTATTAGTTTGATGATGATTGAATCAAATCAATTTTCTCCATCATAAAGGGTATTTACATGCACCTTTTTTCTGGGAAATAATTACTTTTTTTCTGTATGAACTAACATAGATTTATGGATTATAAATTCTACATTTATGTAATTGAGATTTTATAAAAAAAGAGGGAGGGTGGCAGATTAAATATGAAAGATTTGTAGTGGGGTCATCCTTCTGATAACTTCGAATAAAGATTGAAGATTTGGCTGTCCCACCCTCCTCTTTTTCTAGATTCACTTGCTTGGACAAAGGTACCATTATTGAGTTATACTTGTGATGTCCTTTTTATAAAATATTATTCAATTTATGAAAATTGGGTTGGAAAATAAATATATGTAAACACAACTTTTTTTTTAAAACACGCTTATTTATGGAAAAAAAAGTGAATGAGTAGATAATTAATATAATATAATAAGGCTAAGCTTTTTTTTTTTTGGGTAGAGTAATAAGGCTAAGCTTTAATTAATGGGAGGAATTAAAATGAAAAATAATATTTCGTTTGGTTCTTATTATAAAACCTAATAACAATTTCACATGAAATAACAATTTAATTAGTTAAAAATAAGTATAATTACTTAGATATATTGTGTAAAAAAATTAATTCTTAAAATAAAATATATTATATTATGAAATATGTAGGAGGTCATTATAATAAGAAAATAGGAATGAAGGAAATACTAAAAATTTCAAGTAAATTGTTAGTGGACCTTATGAATAGGAACATAATATCCCTAAAAAAATTCTTTTATAATAGTATCTAGGATTAGCCTGGTAACTAAATTTATGAATACTAACACACTAACTATCTTTTTTAAGTTTTTCTTAGCAATAAGATTGAGTTGATCTCTATAATAAAACATGGCGGGTGTGTAAGTTCCTCTTACACAATACATGACTTTGAAGCCTTTCATCTCAATTAGACATTGATGGAGGGTAATTTGTGAACATCTTGACTAGCACATTTTAAATCATGAGAACTATCTAGACCTATCTTCCCAAAATTTCAACATGTCTGCGACACAAACCTAAGCATGTGTATTTTATATGTAAATAATATTACCTTTAATCCTCAATATAAGAATTATTTAACTAATTTAAGTAGATTAAGAGAATTAATTAAGGTAGCTATTTATAATAGATATGTGTTATCTTTCTTAAAATACCCTTACTAATAATGTGTAATAGCTAAAACTATTATTCAATGAAACATTTAATATATGCAACTATTATAAGGACCATATTAAAAAAATAGATAAATACAAGAAACAGAGTAAATTAAGATATTACTCCTTCAGGTTCAAAATATAAGCTAAACTTTATTCATTTAGGTTTTCAAGAAACTAATTAAAATCAATTTAAAACAATAAATGTGTAAGACATATATTTGTTTTTCCTAATATACCCTTATTAACAAAGAGAATAAGTAAAAGATGCAATAAATGAGTTAAAGAGGGAAGAGAATATATTAGGGTAAAATTGAAAAAAAAGTGAATGTTATCTTATGAAAAAAAACAACCCCTTTTAGAAAGTTTAGCTTATATTTTGAACCGAATGGAGTATAGTTATAACCAAATTAGATGTCAAATCAACTCTTATATTAAATATTAGTGATACTATTTAGAGATCGTGACTAATACCCCATGTCCCTATCAAAGACATTTCCAAGCCTTAACATTTTTATGATGTATCCATGGTAGCTTGAGATTTAACGCACCTACCAAGTACCAATAAATATTATTAAAGAATAATATACTCATTATTTGACGAATACCAGATAAAAATATAAAATTGTGTACGAAACTTTAGGAACTTCACCTAGTTAAACTTTAGGACCGGATGGATAATTAAAATGGACTTGAGGGATGGAAAGTTTCATTACTCCAAATTTATATCAATCAAACGTATTAGCTCATTTTACACAATAGCATAAATTAAAACTTTTTCTATATAGAATAATTTATATCAATATTCTTTTTTTCCAGACATACATATATTTTTATTAAAAACAATCATGTTCGACACATTGTCGGATATTAAATGTGAGTATTTCTTCTAGTAAGGATTTAAATATTGATCCATTACATTATGAGGGACTAACCTCTTCTATTAGATTTGACACTCAAAATTTTATTTTATTTCTTACTACTTTTCAAAATAAAATTATAACAAACAATTAAAAAAAATTAAGCCCAACCCAAGTCTTCCAAATTGATCAGGTGGGAGGCAGCCCATATATGGCGCAGCCTAAACAGATGGAGGAGGAAAGATGTTGACTTTTCTGTATTTTGACTAAAGGCCGTGACAGATTGGAAGTCCCATTCTTCCATCCATGAATGTTTGTTTCTGATTTTTAAATTTTGCTTGTCAAACTCATTAGTTGAGTCCAGTCAACAGCTTGCATCCAGTTTGAAATGAATAAACTATATGACAAACGTTTATTTAATTTTATATTTATAATTGATTAAATAAGTGAAAATTTCAGAAAAATACCAAAATCTTAAATCAATGACTTCAATTTCAATAATTCCAAATCACTTCATTGTACCAAAGCTCTTTCACTTAAAAAGACCAGCTCAGCATGACTGGTCACTAAAAAGCCTTGACTTTGGCTAATAAAATATAATAAATAGCTAATGAAATGAAGTACGTGTTATAAAGCATCTAATTGTAAAATTTGAAAATATGTGTTGACATTTACGAATCAACTATAATAAATAGCAAATGAAATACTTAATTAGCAAAGGGCAACACGTTTTCAAGTTTTACATTTGAATGTTTTAGGATATTCACAACATTTCAATAATTTATTAGCCAATTTGATCTTAGAAATTTCCAGCCATGGATGTCGGAGTTCTTTTGGTGGGGTAAAATTCAGACATTGAATTATAATGGAAACAAAATTATGGGAAGTAAAATTAAAATTAAATTTTAAGGAAATTAAGAGACGGCAATAAAAGGTTAATTTTTAGAATTCACTCATATTTGGGCCACACAAAAATTTATTTCATTTATTTTCTTGGCTTAAAATCTCAAAAACTTCACTTCCTTGCCTTGATTATTTTTAATTGAAAACCAAAATTTGATCCAAATGCAAAATGCAGGAATTAGCAGGAAGAAGACGCAAGCAACAAATTTATGATAAATCATATCTACTTCACTTTTTATCTGTTAAAGTCTGATTAGTTGTGGCTAAAAACACAAAGCCACTTGATTAGGTGTTACTTGTTAGAGACGGAAAGGAATGTTGGTGACTTTCCCTTTTATGTATTGGGACCTCAATTACAATTCACATTGCCTTTAAAATGTGTTCATTAAGCCTCATAAAACGCGTATATCCTTAATTTAATATTTAAAATTTTACTATTAATTAATTTAATTCGAGACATATTTACATCTACCTACTACTTTTTTTTTTATCTTAAGCAGCATATGTGCAACATTATTTACAAGTAAGCTAATATTTATTTTGATTTGATTTTAAATGTAAAAAGTTAATACAAATATTAATTATAGACATTAATAAAGTTTTAGTAAATTTATTTTGATTTGATTTTAAATGTAAAAAGTTAATCCACTTTTTTTTTACATAATTTTAATTTTTTAATAAATTGTGGATATTAATTATAGACATAAAGAAAGTTTTCATCAATATAGTAGTTTTCAATACAAATTATCAAAAGAAATATTTTTGAAAAAATCAACACACGGTTTTTTAGTACATAGCTAACTTTAGTTATATACTGGTAACTTTTTACATATGAGATAAGAGATGCTTGTTACCCCATGCCTTGGTTGTAAGATAAGTTGTAACAGTGTATTATTAAGCGCTTGTTTCTAAAATTTTTGTACAGTAGAACATAAAAACACCCTATAGATATTAAGGGGGTATTTGGGTAGTAGGAAAAATATTTTTTAAAAACACTTTTTTGTAATTCGAGATAAACTCCTCTACATATTTATTTTGTATACCGTAAAAATATTTTTAAAGCTATCGTTTTGATTCCATCCAAATATCTTCTAAATAACAAACGTTAATAAGTGAGTTTTTTAATAAATTTAATATTTTATATTCAACTAAAAAATTAAAATGGAAAAAATAATTGATATATAATCTTGTGACACAGAGATCGAAATTTGTCTGTGAGTTAGAAGGAATTAATGATAAATAGATTAAAAAAAAATTTTGGTGAAGAAGAGATAAAAATTTTGGCACATTAAATATGTAATATATAAATATTATTTTTTATGCTAAGTTAATTAATATTTAAAAACCAAATAGTTGACTAGTTTGATGCTAGAATGGAAATATACATTTTTTACCAACTACTGCATTATTGTTATGATTATAGTAGTAGCTAATAATTAAATAGCAGCTTGGTCAAAAAAATAGTAATTAAATACAAGGCGGTAATTCAGAATCAGAATCCCCCCCACTTGCCTTTTCATGCTTTGTCCATTTTTGCCAGTAAATCCCAGCGGAGGAGAAGAGGAAGAGAAGGCGAAGCAACAATCCAATCCAATCCAATAATTATCCAAAAAGCCACCCTCGTCTACGTCTTTCACATCACAGGGGAAGCTATCGATTTCAGCAGCGAAGAGTCCGTATTAATACGATACAATTTCAAAGGCAAACTTCTGATTCTTTTCCCACGGTAACCCAATCGCTTCTTCGTGTCTTTTTGATTCGCTCTATCAATTCTCTTTTCCCTGCTTTTTTCCTCTTAATCATTTTGGTTTTCAATTCTCAGAATTGCTCGCGCTCTGATTTTTCCCCCCTTTCTTGGAGTTGGGAGTTGGCTTCTTGCTATTCTATCTCCGCCATATCCCTCAGTCGATCTTACTTGGCTTTTGGTATCTCAGACACTGAATGAATGGGGTACGTTTTCGATTCCAATCCTGTCTGAATAAGTCAAAATTATCTGTATTTTTGCTTTTTATTTTTATTTAAGTGTGTGCGTGAATCTATAATCCTTTTGCCTTTTCATTTTGTCATAAAATATATGCAGAAGAATGCTTTTTTCCTGAATTCTATAGAAAATTGATGTTTTAGTTATGGAAAATAGACAAGCCTAACCCAATTTTGTGATTAAATTATTGGTAATCAGAGGACTTGTAGAGATAAGCATGAGCTCTCATGAGCACATTCCACTCCTTATCCTCCCAGTAGAAAATTAGTATAGAGTACACTGTCACATGCGGTTCCCGTTTCATTTACTTACAGGTGGTTTCTAAGCATAGTCCGCCTTTTGTTGATTGGTTGGTGCTAAATTCGGACTTAATCATAACTTGGTATTAATTTTATCATTGGTAAGATGGATGCGGAACAAAACTTAGGCTTATTCATAAGGCATTCCAGTACTTGTGAAACTTTTAGCAGTTATAAGACTTCTGTGTCTGAATTTATGGTGGATGTTTTAGACCATCATAAAGTATATTGTGATGCATAACAGAATTTAATGCCATTGTAACAGAGCAGTGGTTGTCTTGGTTGCCATAAAAAACCAACGGTTATTAGCACAGTTGATATGCCATCAAAAGGGTTGGCAATGCAAGGTAAGGCTTTGAAGAAAGCCAGTACATCAGAGGATTTCTGGACCACAAGCACACATGACATGGACAATAGTGCTGTTCTGTCACAAGGAAGCATCTCATCAACCAGTGCGACAAACCAAGCGCTAGATCCTCATGGTGCTTCTAGCAAAATCAGTAATCCTGCTGAATTTGTAAATCACGGTATGGTTCCTTGCTTTTATTATTGTTCAGCCTGAGCTACTTTGTTAAATTGTTTTGGATACTTTAATGTTGATCTGGATTAAAGAAAATTATGACAAAAAAAAGGACAAAACTGGTATGCATGCTGTAATTATTTTCTTGGACATGAGCGGTGATAGCTAGAAGATGATAACCCTATAATTAAGTTACTGTCCCTTTTCCTTTAGTGAGGCGACTGGGGGTTGCTGCTTCCATATTTGGTGTTGCTGTGGCTGGAAAATGCAATGTTGTGGCTAAAGAAAAGTTAAATTAGTGAGACGTGATGATTAAGCTAAGCTTTTGCCAGAAGTTGTACTTTTATCCTGGTGTCTTTATGCTCTCAGTGCCTGCTTTTCTTTTTTGGGAAGATGGATTCTTATATGACTCATCGTTATGCTTAATTATTTTTTTGTTTTTGAACGAGCCGTCATGCTTAATTATTAAGTCCACCTCTTTTTCTAGGTCGGAATAGTACTTTTCGTGTACTTTTCTTTTTAGCCACGTATGGTTCATATTTGACCGACTAAAGTGTTGCCTCCTTTTCCCTGTTCAAATGCTTTCGGTGACTGATTCTTCTTCTGATCTAAAATTGTCTTTTTATTACTGACCAGGTTCCATGGCATCTTTAGTCAAATTTGCATTTTCCCTTTAACAATCTCTATGACTTTTTATATTCCCATCTTACCTTGTATTTCATTGATTTTGGAAAATAAGGTAGCGGTGCGATGGTTGGTTATTGCTCTTGCCTGTTCTTATAAAAAAAAATATTTGGATGGGAGAAGAGAAAGCAAAACCAAAATTATTTGGTTATTTTCTTGCAGGTCATATTCTTTGGACTCGGACTCGGCAACGTTGGGTAAGAAATAATAGATCTCACAATCAGAACCAAACCAAACGGCAACTGGATCCTAAATTAAGGTAAATTACCCAAGGTTTTACCATAGAAAGGCCAGTCCACTTCTTTATATTTAGCACGTAGCTGACTGGTAGTTAAGTCTTGATGAGATTGTACCTTAGGAGAAAAGAGAAAGCTACTCTTGTTATTTTAAGGCTATGCTGTGGAAGTATTAGTTTGCAGCTGAATGGATCATGGCTGCTTATGTAAGGAGCATGTTTCCATAACGTAGACTTCCCAAATGGCATATTTAGATCTTTTACATTAGTATTTGCATTGCAAAAATATTACAGTGCCAAAATATTACAGTGCGGTAAATAGGCTGATGAATTTCTCTTTTGGGATCAAACTCTGTGAATTTGTTTATTGTTTCTCGTAAGCCGTATAGTCTGTACTTGGGCTAAGATTCATGTTAATGCAGTTGGAATGCAACGTATGAAAGTTTACTTGGGAGCAACAAGCCATTCTCTCAGCCAATCCCTCTTTCTGTAAGCATCTGATTCTGAACTATGAACCTGCAAATCACTCAAAAATTCGTTTTTGTTTTTGAGAGATTTCTCATTTTCATATGAACAGGAAATGGTAGATTTTCTGGTGGACGTCTGGGAACAGGATGGCCTATATGACTGAGGCATCAAAGAGTAGGGGATTGTTGTTTCCTGTTTGGTTAGAGTAGCTATAGTAAATTTCACTTTCTTGCTTCTGTAGAAAGAGAAGTTTGGGCAACCTCCACAAAATTATATTTATACCTGATTTAATTGATGACAGGAGGCAAGTTTTCTTTCATATATTTCTTCCATTTTTCTCGAGGCTTGCCGAGTAGCTGACTAGCCGTAAATCGTAATCCTGCACAAAACTGAAACCATGAACAGGACAGCACTGCATTATCGTAGAAATTAATAGGAGGGAAGTTTGTCGAACTTAAAATTATCATGTTCAACTGGAAAGTATCTTATAGATCCCGTGCCCTAACATACAAAGTGATTATATGATAATTAAGCATGCTCTGTACCACTAAATTATGCGCAATGATTTTGTTCTTTACTTGATAAAGATGATCATATCAAGTATATAAAGGTCGGGTGTGACTTTAGACTTCACCCAAATTAATTAAGGAAGCGACATGGGGATCATAGATTTGGTTACAAGGGCAAATTTGTGAAATAATTTATTTTTAAATTGCAAGTAAAAACCAACCATAATCCTTCCGTCCTTGGTATTTCAATAATTAAAGGTCTTCGATTATTATTAATACATTCCCAAGGTCTGCAATTCTCGTTTCCTTCTTATCTTGTAGCGGGCATGGCCACCGAAAAACAGCTCGGGCCCCTCAGGGCCCCATGGGGTTCCATATTTGACCGCAGCCTTTGAACTTAAAAGTCCCAGATATGTCGGCCAACAGTAGTCCCACTTTTTTCCTCCAGGCAATTTAAATTTGAGAAGATTCATTTAGTTCTCGGATTATGAAAACTGAGGAACATAAAGTAGCTGAATTTAGAGGTGGTATGAAGAAAAGAATGGATTCACAGTGAAACTGTGATACATATAAAAGCAGGATTTACTCAGAAATAGTGAGCCCGAACTGAATCTGATAATTTAGCATTAAATGACAAGAAAAGAACAGAGGAGTGAGCAGGAAGAAGCAGCACTAATGACGCAAACAAAATGATCCCAACAGTATAGGGCGTGGATGGAGGAGGAAGACGTGGAAGAGAAGATAAAGTGTCATTTCATTATCACTATTGCGATCCCATCATCTTCTTCGTCCGTACACAACCTCCCTGGCTTTTGATCATACTAGTACCCCCTCCACCGTCCGATCTCATCAATCCCCTGCTTCTGTGTTCCCCCGCTTCCGGAGCTTCCTTTTGTCCTCACATGCTTCCCTATATCCTCAAGCTCATACTTTACTCAAACATGCATACAAAAATTCTATACAAATTCAAAATTCTTTCCCTATGTACGTATACGCAATCACGCACGTCGTGTTATTATATACCAAAAGAGTAGGTTTAATTTAATACAACACACACACACACATAATATTCACAGAGAGAGAGAGAGTGAGAGTACACTCAATAGTTTGGGAACTCTTGGGAGATGATCAATGCAACTGTTTATATAGACTATAGAGTTCGGTGGCAGAAGAAGGTCCAAAATTTGCAGAAGAATCAGGGACTAGTACTTGATTAATGTATGTACAAAGTGGTTGTTACATTGTCTAATTGCTATCTAATTCTTGAAATTAGCAAAGAATCAGTTTTATGTACTTGGTTTAAATACTAAGGTTTCGCTAATGAAAGTGCTGGAAAAGTGCTTCTAGCTGGTTTTATATATCTATGTGATGCTGTGAGGAGAGAGAGCAGAGAGGCACAGAGAGAGAGAGAGAGAGGCATCTTTTAAGTAAGAGGGCTGCAATGAAAACTTACCTTATAAAGAGTGTGCAAAATAACATTGGTATTTATTTGGCTATATGGTAATAAAAGTTGACATAGATATATTGTTTTTTAACAGTCACATGAGATACAGTAAAGAGCCTGACTTGTAAAAAGCTTCAAGTAAATAAAGCAAGTTCACTGAGATTCCGCCAATAATAGTGGAAAAAAACTACTATTTACCATTTGTCCTTCATGCCCCCCCGCCCCCCAAAAAAGAGAGTCTTTCAAGCCACACTGACTGCAATAAATTAATCGCTATATCTTTCTCACACAGCAAATTATAATTCATTTGATTTGATAAAATATTTCAGGAAAAAATTCTGATTTCTATTATTTTCTGAGATTTTTCAGTCATAATATAAATGGTGAAGAATCCTAGATATTTTGATGGCAATTTCTGTATATTTCTTTTGTTCAAGCAACATGATTTGATGGGAAAGGTAGAGGGAAAAGACAAAAAGGGCACTTGATCAAAGCCAAGGGATCACACAAACACACACATATTAATAGTGTGCTGAGCCAATTACTATTGAGCAACAATCCAAAGTCAGATATCACCGTTTTCCCAAAAGAAGACTTATAAAGCTTTGCCCATTTTCACTGTTGTATGAATGCAGATTTCATTGGTGAAGCAGCCATGGAATCAGAGCAGTGTCTCTCCCTCAGGAAACATAACCCTCCACTCACTTTCTCTAACACATTTAATACATTCACTCCCTTCTCTTCTTCTTCTTCACCACCCGCTCCGTCAATCACATTTCAAAACACACTTCACTCCCTTTCACTGCTACACAAACAATACTTGTTCTCCCTCAACACACCACCACCCCCATATCAGCTTTAATTCTTCACAGTAACTTGCACTGATGGCTCTATCTCGCCCACATCCACCAGCATTATCCACAGTTGCAATAATTTTCACTGTGGCTTTCATCTGTTTCCTCACAGTTCTACATCATCACAGTTCAGGTAAATTAAAAAGGCCACCCGAATACTGTTTACTGGTTTAAATATATGGCTCAGTAATGTTGCTTAGTACTGTTTCTGGGTTTTGATGATGATGATGATGAGCAGTGATGGGTTTGGAGGAAAGCAAGAAGGTGATAGGGTCGAGGCCTCCGGCTTGTGTGAACAAGTGCAAAAAATGTAGGCCTTGCATGGCAACTCTGGTGGTTCCTCGTCATCAAAGAACTAAAAAGAAGGGTTTCAGTCTGCAAGTGGTGCCTCCTGGGGACGATGACCCTTATTACCTCCTCTCTTGGAAATGCACATGCGGCCATAAGCTCTTTCAGCCATGAGCACTGCACGTTCATGGAACTTCTCTCTCTTGGATATGTTTCTCTCTTACTTCTGAGCTGCTTTGGTACGGCTAAAGATGTTTAAAACTAGCTAGCTAGAATATCTATTACAGATATTCGCCATAAACATTTTGATTTATAGTTTTTCCATTGCAGTGATATATATCTATCTATAGATATACATATTATATATTCTGTTGTAAGGACTCTAAATATTATCTGCTGCTTAATTCAGTCCTCCTCCTCCTCCTCCTCCTCCTCCTCTTCTTACTACGTTTATCACACACTTTACAAATAACCAAGAACACTCTTTTGGATATGCCATCTTGGTCGTTGGATTATATATGCTTGTGGGTGACTGTGAACAACCAAGTTACATAAAAAGACAGAGCTTTACATGACATCCAATATCATATTCCCCACGTGGAAGTGAATCGGGTAGGGACATATGAATCATTTGTGTCTTTAGTTGAAGGTAACAGAGATTATATACAGGTAACAATAAAACATCATCACTTTTGACGTATGTCTCACAACAATTGGAATCTCACGGTGTTCATGTTCAGGTTGAAGTTATAGTACGGTGGTTATAATTGGTTGCAATCATTCCAGGTGGCTGGGTTCGACCACGTTGGCTTCTCTCTCTCTGTTTTTTTTTTTTTTTGGCCCTCTCTTCACAGATGCTGCAAGAAGTAAATCTTTTATTTGCGTATAAAATAATGCGGCCTTTTCTTTCACTTGGATACTAATCGAGGGTGATCTTATTATCCCTGAATGATTTAAAATTAAAAAGAAAAATTGGAGTTTTGAGTTTTAAGCTTGGATAAGACAGAGGTGATTTAAAAGGGGAAGAAATGAACTAACGAAGACAGACAAATTGAGAAGCATACACATCCTGTTGATCATTTTCCTTCTACTTCCAAAATACTTTTTCCCTTCTTAATACAACTAAATAACTAATTTACACATACTAAAAAAAATTTAATTTAGTTATTTCTAATAGATGTGGGTTGGATTTCCTAAAATAATATATTTACTCATTTTCATTGTTAGAACTATGCATTGATGAATACCTCCTTAATATATGTAATTAATAGAGATAATTTGAAAAAAATTATAAATTTGGAAAATAAAGTGAATTGAGGTATTATTAGACTTATATTATGGATCAAAATCAAACTTTCTAACTAGCCCTTCTATCTTGATAGAAAAAAATTTTTTGGTAACATCTTGATAGAAAGAAATAATTCGCAGGCCTTGACAAAAAAAAAGAAAAAATGAACAAAAGTTTCCCTTACAGAATGCTGTGGATAGGATTGTTTTTAGATGGGATGATCCAACTTTGCAGTGTTGTAGTCCAAATCCAATTGTGAAATAAAACCCATTCTCCAAAGTTAGCCCATCATCATGAAACACCATACATTAAGATTCCCTATTCATCCATTCGATGATTGCCGACGTATGTGGGCACGTTGCATATATTCGTGTGCGCGTGTCACCAACAGAATCAAGAATCGTTTTTTTTCCCCAGGTTTTTAATTTGTGCTGCAAATGCCTCTCAATGGTTCCTCTCTCTTCCACGAAGCCAGCCAACCTGGCTCCATTCTTCCCCTCCCGCTCTCCAGTTTCCTGCACTCGTTTCTGCAATTCCTCTCTTTCAACTGTTCCTTCCTTCTCCTCCTTCTCAATCCGCTCTCATCTTCCACTTCGCTCCCTATCTTTTTCTCATTCCGCCGGAGTTAGTTACGCCCTTTGCCGCTCCTCCCATCCTGGCCGTCCACCGCCCCACCGGATCGATCCTCCTCCCGGAGGTGATTCCGGAAGCCTTAAAGGTTTGTACTTTGACTTTTTTTTTTTTTGGGGATTTCATGCTAGTTTAGGATTTTATTTGCAGAGAACTACATAATCTGAGATTTGAATTTGAGCATGGATTGTATTCTGATGAATATGGAGGGACTTTACGTTTTTCTCGGTATTGGAATATTTTGTAGCTAATGTACTGGACTACTGGGTGAAGTTGCTTTCGGCTACAATTGAATGGAATGAAATGTAGTTAGGCGGAGCCGGGAGGAGGTTAAGCCCGTAAAATGAATTTGAATTCTTGACATGGATGGAATAGTGTGGATTTGAAAGAATTTCAGGGGTTCTTAAAGGGTTCATTCCATAGCCTAAATAATTCTAAGATGAAAAACTTTAAAGAACTTGTTTTTATTTTTATTTTCTTTCCCTGCGTTATTATTGCCTCGCCATCCTATCAACAACTTCACAATCGTCGCCTCTGTAGAGTTTACAATGTAGTTGAACTATTTATGCAGACAGTCGCACTGTTGTTTAGGGCACTGCCACCTTCACTAGCTATAAGTGAGCTCCTCACCTTCTTTTGTACTAATCTCATTCATAGTTAACTAACAATGAGCTTCTGTCTTTATTTGAAGGTTAACTATTTTGTTTTCTTTCATGGTATATACGATTTTTTTTTTCTTTTTCTGCATATCCATCCTTAGACAAAGTAAATTAGTGTTAAGGAATTGCAATATGTTTTGGCCTTGTGGTTTTGCGTCACTAATGCCTGTTGAGAAGCTTGTCTTTTTGGGCTGATAGACTGAGAGGACTAATATACTGAGACTAAGGAAGCATGAAATGCCTAAATCTGCGGTATGAGATGCTCTGCAAGTTATTTAAGTGGATTGATTTTCCCATTTTAATAGCTACACCCACTTGGGTGCTCATCAATTGATGTTCAAGCTGACAACATGCTCTAATGATGCCAATTGATAGAGACTAAGATAGTATGGAATGTCTAAGGTCCACTTTAAGTAATATGAGTTACTTTATGGGATATTTAAATGAATTAGTTCTCCCACCTTCATAGCTGGTTTTTGGGAGGAGGCTACCATCCCACCTTGGTGCCATCATTTGCATTTTTTTCATGTTTTCATGACATGCTATGAAAATTCATTTTTAAAAGAATGTATGCATTCCAGTATGAAACTAGAGAAGAGAAAGATTTTCTGTTGGGAAAATTTAAGAACGATTTATTAGTTGTTTAAAGCTCAAGCACATAGGTGATCAAATTAATTTAGTTAGTATAGATGGCAGTTTTGACAGTGAACAACTAAATGCTAAATTCTTTAGGTACCATAATTTGCCAAGAAGCAGTCACTATCATGCAACATTATCGTCTCGTGTTTCATCGAATTATTAGTTATAAATATTATTAGCTTTGCATACTTTTCAGTTTATGTCACCCTCTGGTTCACAACTATTATTATGACTTAGGTTATGCTTCTTCCTTGTTTTCTTCTCTCAAGTCTCGATACTAATGACATGGCATTGACATGCTTTGCTGTGTAACGCATGTCTGCATAAATCTGGAGCGTATGGTGTAAGCTTAGACTGAATTATGCTGCGTTTTGGAACATTGGCTTTAATGAAAGTACTAACATATTTGCAGCTTATGCCATTTTTTTTGCTTTTGCTCATGTTGTTTCTGCTTCTGTGGCAAGATACATTTTCATTTTCTTGGTACTCATAGGGATTTATGAACTGATTTGGGGAACAGGTTTTGCCGAGGCTTTAGTGAGATTGCAAGATAGAGTACGGATATTCTTGGCTGTACTTTTCTGGATGTCCCTGTTCTTTTGGGCTTCAGCGTGGGATGGGCGGAATAGACCAAACAAAGGTTCCAGATTTAAAAAGAAGTAGTGAGCATATAGACTGTACACACCAAAGTATATTAACAACTCATGGGATAGATCCAATGTAGTATATGAATCAACACCAGAAAGAATTCACTTATTTTTAGTGATTTTGCTTTACACAAGATAAATTATGTGAGAATTTTATCTTGTGAAGCGAATAAATACTTTATTTTTTGAAGCGGGGGCAAACAATCAAATGAGTGGAATGATGTTCTGATGCCTCATAGACTCTACAGATTCATATGGTTACTGCTGGGGATGTAAATCTATGCTATGCCCTCCTTTCTCTTAATACAGTCTTTTATACGAATGACGCCTCTTTAGTCCCCTTTCCCCACCTTTCTCTTTGTAGAGATCAAAGATTTTAAATGGATTTGAAACAATTTTATACAAGCTGCAAATGTTTGTGATATAAAATTTAAAAATAATTTAATATTATTTAATAGTAAACACTTTCTTATTTAAGAACCTAAAAATGTGGACGTAATTCGAGGGTTTTATTAACTGAACTTTTTTTGAGTTAAAATTTTTGTCCTCTGAAGCCAGTACTCTACTTGATATCTGAAAAAATATCTCTGTTAAGGAAAGCAAAATATTTTTTCCATTATTATTCATTGAAGCCCAGGGTGCTTTTTTTCCGTTAAAGGAGCGAAAGAGCTGTGGAAATCCATAAATCATTAGGTGAAAAATTTTTTTGTTTGTAAATATCTTGATTGAAGATAATTTTTTTTATTCGAAATATTAATGGGTGTTATATATTAAAAAAAATCATTTGAAAACTTTGATTTCATTCGCCCCTCTGTTAGATTACATGCTCTAAAGAACGCTGATAGATTTGAATCCACCATTTAATAAGATATGGGTCGGGAAAAAGAAAACCAATAATAATATTCTTTTTTACGACAAGAAGTAGACCGAAAGTAGAGATTATCTTCAAGTGTACCGACTGCAAATTAGTGAGTTCTTCCCCACTAGGTTCTTAAACATGTACAAGGTTACGTTTTGAACTCGCAACTACTCGTTTAAGTGATGAAAACTCTTACTCTTCACGCTGACTTAAGTTAATCTAAGTAATACTCTCCCAGCCTCTAATATAACATCTAATTAAATAATTTAAGTAAATTAAAAATGGTAGTTAAATAGTTAATATAATATGCTCTTTTTAAAATGCCAGAAATATCTTTCTTACTACTTTGTTCTAATTCGGTTCTAATTTGAGGAGATTAAGAAAATAAGTTAAGTTAGTTATTTCAACACTATGTGTTGTCTTTTCTAAATATTCTTACTAATCAGTTTGCACTATGTGTGTCTTTTCTCAAATATTCTTACTAATCAAGTTTGTTGGCTAAAACTACCATTATTAGAAGGACTATCTTTAAAAAAAAAGTATAAATATGAGAGACAAAGTGGATTGGGATCTATAATTAGGATCAAAATAAAAATCAAACAATATCTTATATTAAGACCGGAGGTAGTAATTTTCTTTCTCTCCCCTCCTACTTGATTATTGTTAAGAGAATATCAACAGCAGTTAATTTGAAAAAAATTATAAATATATGAAATAAGTCTTATATATAGAACTAATTTCAATTCTTTAATTAAGTTTACATTGAGAATATGGGTAATAAATTTTACATACGCAGAGGGATTATGTGCTGTCCTTGTCATCTTTCCCTTTTTCTGAGATTTAAATTCGGGGAAAAAAAAATACTGCAGATATTTGAATTATTGAGCATCATGTATGATGAGAGCATAATAGTAAAAGAAGCAAAGTGCTCCTTTGGAGGGTGTCTGTATATCCATTCTGATTTTTATCTCCTGTCATATTCAAAACCAAGTACTCTTACCGTGTAAAATATGAGAGACCCACAAATTGAATCATATCTGGAAGCAGAGCAGGAATAGCTTAGAGGACTGAAATAAGGGAATGGAATGATAGTGAAAGATATGAAGGGAGCATAAAAGCCACAGATGGGACACGTCGTCGTTTACGTGTTTGTCTCAGATGAAATCACCCAAAAGAACCCCCCCCATATATATTTATATTCTGTCATGGTCGGATCTGCAAAATCTGCACACAAAAATCAGAAGGTGTCACCTGGAGCACCTTACACCATTCTCACTCACAACTAGTAGTATAGTGTCCATTCATGTTCTCATGCTTATCCATTGTCATCGTTCTTCACGTTTCAAGTTTTCTAGACTGCTTACTCAACTCACTCAACACCTTCTTCGTCCTTATCTTCCCTCTTCTTTTCTATTGGATCTTATTTTTACCTCGCAATTCTTTATTCTTCTCTCCAAGCTTGTTAATACAATTTACAATTTTTTTTTAATGGCATGCATTTTGTTTTGATTATGAGCTCACCACTCCCTCGTATAATTGTGATCACTCCTTTAATCACACCATATGAGGTTTCATCATGCATTTAAATAAACCATGACATAATTTTTTTTTTATTCCGTCCCATGCATATCATTCTCCCCATTTTGAATTTTTGGTATGCTTGAATTGAATTCAGGAGTTTATCAGGGTTAAGCATGCCTTTAGCCTCAAAAAAACTTACAAATCGTCCACTAACAAATTCTTGGTATTTCCAAAACTATGGTTCATATGTTTCGATTATAGATGCCAATCCCGTCTCCTTTGGTTTTGGGGACCAAATGACATCTTTGCGTCGGAAAAATACTGAAAAGTAGAAAACTGGATGACCACAACTTATGAAGTCAGGAAATGGTTTTTGTCTTCTTTCTATCTCTACAGCATATAGAGACAGAGTAAGGTTCCTGAATGATATAATGACCTTAGCGGTATATCCGGTTAGATCAGTTTCATGACCTTTTTCTGGGGTACACAAGATTACATAGGCAGATCATTACAGGAAAGTTTCATCAGATGAGATATTTCCCGCAAATGGTAACTGCAGTAAAACTACTGAAATGTGAAGCAAAATCCAGAACGTCCTGGTCTTTGATGTAATAACTCGGTCAAAAGGGACAAACCGAAAGAGATAACATCATCTAGTACGAAAAAATATCTTAAATTGGTCAGTAAAATAAAATCTTGTACAGCAAATCCCATGTATAGGTTGAAGATCATGGACTCTGGAATGTGTTCAGCCAAGCAAGTTTTGACGCATGGTCGGGTTCTATTGGCCCGCACTTAGGCGAGAAAACGATGCCCCCGTCATGTTGCTGCTCTGCAAATTCTTGGCCGTTCAAATTCTGCAGCTTGAGACTGACACTAGTATGGGAACGGCGAAGTGGGCCCCGCTCGCTCCTACGTGTCCTCCCCACAATGGCCGCCACCTTCTATATAGCAACTCACTGTGCTTATCATCTCCGCATGTCCCCACTATTCCCCGGTAATGGAGGAGATTCATCTACTGATTCGGCATCCACTCTTTCTTTCGTTTAGCTTCCTTGCTTCTGTACCTAGTTGAGTTGTTTTCTTTTTCATATGTTTTCACAAATCTTCTTAACTGGTGGCTGTCTGAACTTGTAATCATGTTACTACGAAGTTCGTCTGCTCCAATTCCAGGTTCATGGATGCCTCATTCCCCAGAATCAGAATTGATTCACCAGCTTGCTGGAACGAGATCATCAGTTGCATGTCTAAGCCAACCCTCATCTGAACCGGACTTTCATAGATCAAGGTCGAAGAAGAAAAGCTGTTTACCACCTAGTAACGTTCGCAAGAATCAAGAGAGAAACAAGATCAGAGAATGTGAGAAAGTAGTAGTAGAAGAAGAAGAAGAAGAACGACGACAAGAAACTTCACCTTCAGTCCGAGAACTGTTTTCATGCTGTGGTTTGGATGAGGTAGTGATGGAGGTTGATGCGAGAAAGAAATATAATATGGCTCAGAGTTTAGTGTTGGGTGGTGGGGGGAAAGGCTGTGATGGTGGACGTGGAAATCTGTGGGATTATTCTGAAGGTGGTAATCATGAGAGAGATAATACTAATGCTTATTATCAGAAGATGATCGAAGCAAACCCTGATGATGCTCTTTTGCTGGGAAATTATGCACGCTTCTTGAAAGAGGTGAGCTTTGATCACAGTGAGAAAGTTATTCAAAATTTCATCATGGGATTTTTCTTTGAGAGTTTGTTCTGATATTCAATTTGAAAATAGGTTTGTGGAGATTATCCTAAAGCAGAGGAGTATCTGGAGAGAGCCATTTTGGCTAATCCAGGAGACGGTAATATTCTGTCACTCTATGCAGATCTAATATGGAAAACACAGAAGAATGCTGATCGAGCTGAAGGATATTTTGATCAGGCTGTTAAAAGTGCCCCTAATGATTGGTAGGAAATCAACCTCCCTTATGGACCTTTCATTTATGAAAATATTATACACTATAGATCTTATTTAACTTCCTGATAGATGCAGATGCATTTGTTCAAGTGGTGTTAGTTTAGTTTTTAAGATCCTTTCCTATTGCTACATTCTATGAACATGTTGGACATGAAACCCGCCCCTTTGTCTTTAGAACGCTAAATTGTTGTAACTTGATTGTCTAAAGTAGTTGCTTTAATTTCGTGTTTTATGTTTTTGTTGTCTTATTCTCTCTTGGTTGTTTATAAAACTAAATAAAGAGCCTCAAAAGCTGCAGCTATGTTCTGGCTTCATATGCTAAATTCCTTTGGGATGCTGAGGAAGACGAGGAAGATAAAGAATCAAAGAAGATATCAGATCACAGCCATGCATATCCACTGGATCCATTCCATGGAACTAACAACCACCCTCGTTTGCCCGCAGCCTCATAATCTCACTCATCTTTGTCTCATATTTCAGGAAATGAACTTGAGAGCCGGATAAGGTAATGCGGTCTTTAGCCCTGGGGGAAGGACAAAACTTGTGTTCAGTTTTAGATCTTGCTATCAAATTTTCCACCAAAAACACAAAGAAAATGAAGGTGTTTTACAGCTTGGTTTCACATCTGAAAAAGATCTTCCATGTTTTAGTGTATTTGAACTTGATAGCAAACATCTAAGGAACTTCCCAAGTCTTGTCCTTCTAAAATGAGTCAAAGGTTGTAAAGCGCAGGGGACTGTATCACTATGAACTCTGTAAATAGGTTAGACCTAATAACAAGTAGCAGCTTTCAGTTCCTCTTTGTACTAATCAGGTTCCCACTGATGTATCTTTTGAGCATATCAAGTTTTGGTATGAATAAAGAGCAGTTTATACTTCTGTAATCATGTGATTTTGTTTTGGTATTCATCATTACTAAGGTTTAGCTGAAGATAATCATAATATTACAAGCTTTGGAATAATACCAACAATGCGAAAACGTCTCAGTATATATAATCTGTTTAGTGTGATTCCGAATCTATTATGTTGGTGTAAACTTTAACCTCGATGTTTAAATATTCCCAAGTGTGTGAGAGCTTTAAAACAACTCGCAATCCTATCGTTCAAGTGTTGGTAGGGCTCGGGACACATGGCCTTTTTGTCTCTTTATGGTCCATTTTCTGTGGCCTGCAACAATTTCTTTATGTCCATCGCCCCTTTTATTTGTCTCTTGCTTGCTTTATCTTTAACTGTTAATGAGGAGTTGATATCAAGTGTTCAGTTTGTGTCTTGTCCAATTGATGGTAAATATTGTCATTATTCATCCACAATTCATTCAATATAGCGACGCTTCCAATGACTACTAAAATTACTGGAACTAAACTAATATGACATATTGTGCAAATCTTCTTTAACTGAAACTCTATTACAAAGATCTAAATTTTGGCTTAAACCAGCTTATCTCTTTTAATGTTGTTGGCTTTAACTCAGCTTTAACTGAATTGTGCTAATAAAAAAGACAAAATTCAGAGTTGAAGTGCACGCAAAACTTCTTATATCCTTGTACAGAAACATCATGAGGACATATTCTTAGTTTATGATTACTTTTTTCATCTAGGTCCTGATAACTGAACGCAGGATAGGGGTACATTGCTGTAAAAAGAACCCTGTGTTGATGAAGAAGCTTGGTCATTACCCATTTTTAGGAATGATGAATAAGAACTTGAAGTAGATAATGATGGGGGGCTCAGGTACAGGGATAACACCTTCAAGCATTTGAACAACTTTGGTCATTGGAGGCCTTAAACTCATGTCATCTTGGACGCACCAAAGAGCAACCTTGGCTGCAGTGAGAGATCTTTCATCATTCTCTTCAACGTCTATCATTGGGTCAAGAATTTGCTTCAATTTTCCTTCTTCCATCATCCTAAAAGCATATGAAGGAAAATGCGCTTTCTCTGAGCCTTCCATTGATCATAATTCCTCCTTCCTCCAATAATCTCAAGCAGGACCATCCCATAGCTGTACACATCACTCTTTCTGAAATTGCATAGTTGGTGATCCATTCTGGTGCCAGATACCCTCTTGTTCCCCTTAGTGTTGTGAAAACATGGCTCTGTTCGCGGCTCATGAGCTTAGACAAACCGAAGTCTGAAACTTTAGCTGTGAAGTTTTCATCAAGAAGGACATTCTCTGGTTTGATATCACAGTGTATGATCTTCAGCTCACACTCCTCATGAAGATAGGCCAATCCCCTTGCTGTACCTAATGCAATGTTGAATCTGGTATTCCAATTCAGCAAGAAAGCATTTTCATGGCTTCTAAAGATCCATTTGTTCAGAGAGCCTCTTGCCATGTATTCGTACACCAGAAGGCGATGAGGGCCTTCGGCGCAGAAGCCCTTCAGCTTCACCAGATGAACATGGTGAATACTTCCAATGCTGGAAACTTCAGCTTTGAACTCTTTTGCCCCTTGTCCTAATCCTTCCAGTTTCTTCACAGCCAATTGAGATCCATCGTCAAGCACGCCAAGATAAACTGAGCCAAATCCTCCTTCACCAATTTTGTAGAGAAATTCTTGGTGGCTTGACTTAGAGTACTATACCTAAAACGAGTTGGCATACCATGAAGATTGTCCAAGAAATCATCCTCCTCCTCCAACGTTTCTGGAGAATTCTCCAAGAGATGCTTATTTTTGCAGTAATGCCAGAATCCTAACACAAGTGCAATAATAATCAGAATTACGAAAATAACTACAACAACAACTAGTACAGTCTGATGCCTTCTTTTTCTTCCATCTCCATCTTCAATGGAGATCTTCATGAATGAAACATAGCCTCCAGAATTCGCCTGAGAGCGTTGGAAACTTCCTGTCTGATCAAAATGGTAGCACTTTCCTGTACTGTTTTCATAGAAAAGCACAAGGCAAGAGCAGTTTCTTAAGCAGCCTTCTTGGCAAGCGCTCAGGGATGATTTAGAAACTGGCTGAACATACTTGAGGGCAAAGTAATCGAGCTTTTCACCGACATACAGAAGGTCTTCTTGGGTTCTAGAACATGAGGTGGCGTTTGGAGGCTTGCAATTAAAACGAGATTTGAGAAGTGCAGGACATTCACACCAGTTCTCGAAGAAGCAAACATAATAACGATCACAAGGCTCAGCAATACCACAAGGATCTTGTGGTATTCTAGTTGCTTCAGGGGTAGCTGATTTTCCCTTGTTCAGATCATAAAAAGAGATTGCACCATTAGGATCTAATATAGCAGCCCACATTGCCTTCGGATCAGATTTATCAGAGAAGACGGATTGCCATTTTAAAGCTCCACTTCTGTCATAGACATTCCAAGAATTTGAAACCAAAGAAGCAGAATGAAAATGAGCCCCCTTACTGACATTGCTTTCGCTTGATAAGGACCAGTATATCTGAGGAGGATCATATCCAGCATATAAAACCAAATCATCAGACATAAAAGTAAGATAACTAAACAAGTTATTGCGGTTACGGAAGCTTTTGAGACTCATTCCTTCAACAAAAAGTTGATCAGGCAAAAGGGTATCGGTAGGATGGCTAAAACTCTGCCAAATCACTCTTCCTTCTTCATCAATAAGCACCAAATTTCCTGAATCCTTCAGTTCCATGGCTCTAACTTTACGTCCTCCTGTGTTGGTTGCCCAAACCACACCACCCCCTCTTTCCAGATATGCATTTCCAGTATTGTCAAACACAAATTTATCAGAGTTTCTTACCAGCAAGCCTCTGTTAGCAGTCCAAACCACTTTATAGCTTTTCAAGTGAATGACAACTAAAACAAATAGGGAAACATCGAGAGTACCGAAGAATCCAAAAGCAAAAGCCGAGTTGTTGGATAGTAAGAACAATCCACCATGGTCATTCCAGTCCAGCTGAGATGCCTCGAATCTGGGATAAATCTGGCTTATGTGTGATGGTCCGCCAGACACACTCTTAGCAGAAAAAAAACACATAGATAAACAAGGTTCCACTTCTGTATAAACTCATGTTTCTCTAACTGGATGAAAGTTCTGAGTTTTACTATAAAAACCAAAGGGGAATTAGGAAGCTCAGGGTAAATCAGTACTACTAGCTGGCCAACACAAGACAAGAAAAGTAAAAGAGACTACCAAAAATGGATGGACCCCTTGAAGAAGAAATATGTTATTATTCATGCGTAGGAATTCAAGGACATGTTATATATGGAGATACTGCTCATTAAAGAAGAGCAAAAAGGACTTCCAGAGAGGGAGTGACCATGTGCTTCATGCATTTCCCATTCAGTTGAAGACAAGAAGTGTGATGAGAAGAGTAAGAGGAATTGTACCATGAAGGAAGAAGGGAAAGGGGAGGTGGAAAACTTGAGTCGCAAAGGCAGAGAATGAAGAGTTCTTCATAAATTTATGTGAGGAACGAGGATGAAGTTCTCACCTACCCCTTTCTGTGTATTATGTTTTGCTGTGTGGTCCCTTTGCTTTCAGATTACTTTCTCTGCTAGTTTGTGGCCGATTTTTTTCCTCTTCGCGAAACGCACAAAAGCTTCTGGTTTTCGTGGTTCCTTTTTTTGTGTTTATGCAACAGACAAGGATCTTAATTCTTAGGAATAAAAGAAGATGCTTCAAGCCATCAGCTGAAAAATTTGAAAAAAATTAGTAGTTGACAAGACGAGAAATAACATGAAAAACTCTTGCAAATCTTCTATATTCATAGATTTATAGTATTTCTGAATGCTCGTATTGATGGGAATCAGTTGATCCCAATTAATCTGAATGCTGACAGAGTCAAATGGGGTCTAATTAGTCAGTCATGGCCGTCACATTTATGTTTAGTTATTGGCTCCAACTGCCAACTGCCCCCATTTATGAGAGTTCAGTGTCAAAGGGGAGCACAACACTTGAAAAATAAAGCTTGGGATGGTTAGGGAACACACAGTGACTCATTTCATTTTAGGTTTATTTACAAGGTACTTCCAGCATGTTTCACACAGATTAAGGAAAACCTTAAACTTTATTAATTCTCATTTAAAATTTAATAACTTTTCAAATTTATCTTTATTTAATATACATTATATCTCATATAAAAAAAAGTCAACACAATAATAAATAAGGGGTAAAATTATACATCCATATAAAAAATTTCCTCGGTACCTTATAAATAAGACCAAAATATACCTTCTTTCTCTGTCCTATAAATAAGACCAGAGAAATACTGTATTAGTATTTGTCTTTCCTTTCTTTTTTATATATTTTATAATTTGCAGATGCATTATAATTATAAATTTTAAAATAAAAAATCCACGTGCAATTCAATACTTTAAGTTCGAAATTAAACTCTTTGATCTTACATACAAATTTGCTATCAATAATTTTAATGATTTAACTTATGTGAAAATATAGGATATGTTTTGGTTGCCTTGCCATATACTAATGTACAAACTTTATGAGCGTTTTAATTTTAATAACTTCCATTTTAGGATTTTTTCTGATTTACCCAATTTTTAAATAAACACCAAGGATGGGTTTTATATATTTATATATATAGGACCAAATCTTTCTAAAAGAATTATGTCCAGGAGAGTATTTAGGATAAATAAGAATTTAAAAGGTTGCGTAATGGTCGGGTAATTAATTACGACTTTGAGGCTATAGTTTGGGCAAGTGTAAGTGGGGGTTGATTTGATTTAATGCTTTTGTCAAACTTGGTTGAAATATGTGAATGTTCTGGACCTGCACGACCTTAAACTTTTTTGAGTCTCTAAGATGACAAACCTCCCACCGTCGAATTCATGAGAATAACCACACTTCACTTTGTAAAGTGGATTCAATCACATGTTCCTAGTTATGTGTGTGTATAGGAGTACTCTCAAAATACTGCAGCAGGTTATATAATCTTTTGATT